GTTTTCATTTGCAAAAGTTCTCATGCATAAATCACAATTTAAGAACTGACGTGCAGTTAGATGCAGGTGTACAAAAAGTTCATAGCGGGCAAATATTAACATGATTTAACTTAAGTTGTCTTTGGATAATTTTTTTTCAAATATGAAGTTTTATAGCGTTATTAACTAGAACGAATATGCGGGTTGGCAGAATAAATGTACGGGGTCGGAGATCTGATCAAAGTCAGGCGGAAACTGGCCGTCTAAACTGCAGCCGTTTCGTTGACTATTTACCATCATCAGACTTTCCACACCTATTTCTGCTCTACTACTACGTCTTATCTTCCTAAGCAGTTTTTTTCTCTTACACACTTTTTGAAAATGGAGACCCGTTGCACTCTGCCTCCATTTTCACTTTAAGAATCTTTTTTACCTGCCATAAGTTTTTAGTTTTTAAGTTCACAATTAACTGCAAAAAATTGCTAAATGTTGACACAAAAGGACAATTCCTGCTGACAATATTATTACTTTCTATGTCTATTTGCACATATTTTCAAATTTTTTTTTCAATTTTTTTTATTTTTTCGAAACTAACTTTGTACAGACAGTGCCGTACCGGCGCAGACAAATATAAATTTACAAATTCCATACTTTTCCTTGACAATTCAATCGAAAGTCAAAAATGGTATCATATGTCTTCTTACAACTAGATATTAACTGTAAGAATGATAAGGTTTGCAGAATCGTGGTCATCTGCCTTATGAAGACAGACTGATCGAACTTGATCTTTTTCCTCTCAGTTATAGGCAACTCACCGGTGACCTCATACAAACCTACCATATTGTTAGAGGCCGTGAGTGCAACCTAGACGATTTCTTCGAATTGGATCGGACTGATCATCTGCGGGGTCATCCCTTTAAACTTACAATCGAAACCGGCCCATATCGACGTTCGACGGAACGTCTTTTATCAGGGGGTCATCGGAGCGTGGAACGGACTACCTGAAGAAGTGGTCCTCTCAGATACTGTTCTCATTCGCTGAGAAATTATGACAGCTATAATAAACAAAGTGTCAGTAGCAGCACTTTGAAACTGGCCCACACTTATCGCTGATGTTAAGCCTACATTTGTATAATATACTGTTGCTACGGTGGACCTATTTTGCGATTTTTGCTTATGAATAGGGAGCTCAAGAACGAAAGCCTTCTTCCCTTAATAAAGTGACTTACAGGGTCCTCAGGGGCATTATTG